TGTTAGTTGAGCCTAACCCTAATACTAACTCATGAAAATGTTACGGTTGGTAAGTGCGTGATTGCATTCGACTCCACCTCACAAGTCCAGGAAAGGTAATCTTATATAAGTAGTTTTATGCAGGCTGACCTAAAGCATATATCACCATTATCCCTAGATTTACTTTTGATTCCTCTCTCTCTCTCTCTTTATTTTTTTTAATTATGTTTATTATTTTACTGTTCTCCAGCTGCTTATGAGTGTTCTCATGTTTGACCTTTGTTATTTTTTATCAACCAACTCTATGCTAAATCTTCACGAAAGGTCTGTGCAAGTTATGTTCAGTTATTGTTCGATATTGTTGGCTGTGGCTTTATTAAGAAACCCAATGATGACCTCATCCTTTAGGGTAAACTGGTTAGTAATATGGTAAAAGGGCAGGGCAAGTAAAATATCCTAGGTTCAGATAACATTTTTCCTTTTTCAGTTGTCTTCTCCATGTAAAGCAGCCTGCATTTCCTTCCACATGACGGGGAGTGAAGATGTGAATATTATGGTGTAAAACAGCTCTAGGCTGAATACTCATGGGCTTGGGCTTTTAGATAAAGTGGAACTCGACCATAGGACTACTCTTAAAGTCGGGCCTTCTGCCCACATGTAAACGCCTTCCGCGTAAACAAGGCTCTCTTGTAAAGACGAAACAAATGAGGGGAAAATAAGTCCCTTTTCTAGACCCAATTGTTAGGTTGAAAAGGAGGGCCTTTTGAATTGGTGCTCTGATATCAAATTAAGTGACTAGTTACCCAAAAGCTAAAGCTTGCGGGTGCTGGGTTAAAAAATGTTTAGTCAAGCAAACTTAAAACTTTAATAATATAATTAAGATTTTGGATCAGGATCTTGGTTAAAAGAATTATCTACCTTTGTCTAATCAGCGGCGGGAAACGACCAAAAGTTTAGTCCCTTAATTTGGTATATTTGTCACCCTACCGTTGTCTTAAGAATGTATAAAATAGAAGAACCAAAATTTCAACTACAAATTCTAAATTCTATAGATTAAACTTGATATGTTGTTATATTACGCCAGTTCAATATAATTTACGCACTTCATATTCATGTTGCATGCAGATTGATGTCAAATGCCTTGGAAAGCCATTCCGGTTACTTCAATGGATGGGAATGAATGCGCTTGTTGTTTATATGCTAGCTGCATGCGAGCTATTTCCGGCAGCTATCCAAGGATTCTATTGGCGTTCCCCTGAAAATAACCTGGTATATGCCCCTCCCTTGTTATCTTTTTTCTCTTCCTAGATATTCCCTGATATTAGCCCCCCTAGCTCTACCTTATTGTGAAAAGAGTTTCTGGAATTTACATAAATTGCTTAGAATGCTGGCAACAGTACTTTTATAATAATACCTATTAAATGCTCTTAAAAAAAATTTCTTCCAAGCTCATTATAGGGTTTGAAGTTTGTATAGTGTTCGATATGGATCATAACTTTCATACCTGTAAATATTTGTAATATGCTTATGAATAAGGCTCTGTGTTGCTCAGTTGTCTCCAGAATCAGTATGTATCCAGTACTAGTGCTTCCTGCTTTGTTGCATTTAGATGGTCTAATTGGTTTTTCCTTTCTTTTTCTTTTTTCCATGCTAATTATTTTAGTGGTTTTTTGAGATAAAAAAAAAGTATGAAGTTGATGCTTCATTCTCCCTGCATCACTCTTGATTTTCTCAACCTTGAAGATGTCATTATTTGGGGGCTACTATGACAGATGCAACAATCCAAGGGGGAAAATCACTTGTTGACTAATCTTTAGAAAGTGGTTATCATATCATGACTGATACATCATTCTAGGAGGGAAAATCATTAGTTGACCAATCTTTTAGAAAGTGGTTGTCACACCATTGACTGATACATCATTCTAGGAGAGAAAATCATTAGTTGACCAATCTTGGACATGACTATCCTTAAAAAATATCTTATCACACTGACCGGCATTTCTCATGAACTAAAATATTCTTCTGTAGGTGAACATGACAGAATCTTTGCTCCAAACCATATTCCACTCCGAAAGGTGGGGCACGCTCGCTTTTGTTCTGCTAGAGATTCTATTCTGGTGTGTTGTTGCTGGTTTCCTCCATAAGAAAGGCATATACTTAAAGCTATAAGCTTACCAAGGTAAAGCAAAATTCACTACGGCTCACCTGTAAATAATATTCTTCCAAATGTATGTTCCAGATATTTTTCTATTGCTAGGAGTGCTTCGACATGTATTGAATATCGTATCACTATTACATGTTACATACTCAAAACTTCTGTGCATCAAACAGTTGTTAGCCTTTCTTGCTTGTATGTATGAACCAGATATACAGAAATTCATCAAATATTCCGGAAACACAAATATTTTGCTTTGACAATTTTGTGGACATCATCCATGACATCCTTGCTTATAATAAGCTTGTTTGATTCTAGAGAATTTGTATGGAGCTAACCTGAAAGTTCGTCAAAGAATTTGTATGGAGCTATCCTGAAAACAAGATCAGTCAAAGTTCATCAAAGAATTTGTAGAGAGCTATCCTGAAAACAAGATCAGTCAGAAAGTCGAAAAGCGAAATGACACTCTATAAACTACCTATTATTCCCTGTGCCTAAAATATCCCTCTCCTAAAGTTTTCCACTTTTGAGCACTAATCTGGGCCTTTCTCCTTGTAGGTCCTTTACGGGCAGCAACCTTTTTCCTCCTTTCTGCTGGTATACTTTCTTATCTTCCAAGACATCCAAAGAATGCACCAGAATTCATCAAGATAACATCTTGGCGGCTGGCTTTCGGTCATCTCCTTTGTCCTCTTCTCTCGATTCCTCAACTTTTATCACTGTATATAAATCTCTGCAGCGATTCAACCCAGTTTCAACCGAGAAAAAAACAAAAAACTAAGAGAAAATGAATAACAGCGCTGAGTCATCTAACGAAGGAAATCAGAAGGGTAACAACAGTGCCAGCAGTGGGTCACAGAACAGCAACGTGGCGGCGACGACAACAGCAGCAAATTACTCGGGAGTCGTGGCCCAACGAGCATTGTATGGATCGTATAAGCGTCGATTTGGGAGGAGGGCTTCGGGCAAATCTTCACCCAGTAGGCTTAGTAAGGTCACAGCTGCTGATAGCAACAATGGTTGATCTTTGGGTCGGTAGTTCTGATTATTGTTAGCATGTAATTTACTTTGTGTAGCAATTTGTTTGTGAATGTATGCGTATGTGGTAGTTATGTAAAGGTCGAAACAGAATGTAATGTCCTGATATGGAAGCTTTATAGGTAAAAGCAATGGGGTCTCTTCCCTTCCTTTTTATTAATAAAGAGCTTAAAGAAATATAAAATGGATGGAATGATTAATGAATTGATCAAATCGGGGGAGTAAATATATATTGTTATTAGTTAATGTTTTTACAGCAAGCCAATACATTAAGGATTTGCCTCGAAGCAAAATAAATAAATAATAAAATAAAATAAAATAAATAACTCAAAAAAAAAGTGGGGTCCTAATTCTTAAATTGCGATCAGGCTCGTGTCTCCTTATTTTCAAAGGACTGATACTAGGGATGCATTCGGTCAGGATACGGCTCAGATATGATGCTTACCATATCCATATCCGCTTACTCATCTCGGATACAAAAAAAAGTTCGTTAATATGTTCATTATAATTGAAAAGCTAAGATTAGACATCTTGATCATCAAAATTAACTACAAATCCACAATTTAAGAATCGAAACTATTGTAAGAGTATGACCAATATGTATTCAGATATCTTGGATACAGATACAGATAGATCACTACAAAAACATATCCGTAACCACATCCTATCGGTTATAGAGTGAGTAATCATATCCGTATCCTAACCGATACGGTTACGTATATTTTCTCGGATATAGATATGATTTAGCACCCCTAACTGGTACTATAGAAGTTGCGTTAAAAATGAAAATTAATTTAGGATTTACAATTTTATTTGTTGATATTTTCTGGAGAAATTTAATAAGTGAAAGGTTATAAGTTTGAATATTGGCTTTATTTCAAAAGTAAATAAAGTGTATAATAAAAACGCGGAAAAAGAGTACATGGGCCGGTTCAGTTGAACCGACGCGGTCCAAGTTTCAGCTTGTGTTTTGTTTTTCCCGCGCTTCAACGCACCGCTTTTATTTTAGAGAGAGAGAGAGAGAGAGAGAGAGGAGAGAGAGAGAGATCAAAATGGAGGTAGAAAGAGTTCGTCTTCTCAGCTTAGCAATCGAGTTCGGATTCGATGAGGAGTTCTCGAATCAATGCTTAGATCGCCTTGTCGATCTCTATGGTAACGAGCTCAATCGAAACCCTAATATTTCTCAATCCCACCCCCTTTCAACTTCGAAGTTTCGATTTTTTTTTTAGTTTTGAGATTGATTATGTAAATGGACACTGAAAATGTACTAGGTTCTAATTAGAAGCATACCAGGCCTAAAGATACGTTCTTGATGTTCGATTGGGATGAATTTGACGTTGAAATGGTTGCAGTTAATGGTTTATTTAGTTTATTAATTTTTGAGCTTGTTTTAAAAAAAAATAGAATTAATGCATCTCACAATCTTAATACATGATAACAAAGCAAAATTTTGAATAGTTTTGTGTTCACTTTGATAGTATGATGTCTTGACTTTCCATCGTGGGATTTTTTATTTTTTATTTATCATATATATATTTTTGCTAGTGTTGTTTGACAATGTTTGGTACTTCTTATAGTTGTCATATTTTACCGATAAAACTATTGGGTTCAAGCAGGCAATGTTTATATGATATGATCATATAATCAAGCTGAAAAATTGTAGGACACTTGTTTGAAGTGTGTTTTAAGTCATCATTGAGATGGAGTTATGTTGTTTTACTAAGATTCAAATCCTTTTGGGATTACACTTTGGTAGATACAATTTTAAACTCTTGAATTTTAGACGGAGGAATTCATTTCTACGTGCAGTTTGCAACGTGGTTTATCTTACTCACCATGATGAGTTATCTTACAGTGATGGGAGCCTTGAGTTATGATTTGAATTTTCAGAGAGCTCACATGATATCTATGGCTAGGCTCGGTCGAGGATTTACTTGGAACACTTGTGTGGCTTAAGATTGTTTCATATTTGATACTCACAATGGTACATCTATATTCTGATATTATGAGCCTTTAAGTACAGATATGCTAGTTATATGGTCCTCAGGACATACGTCATGAACATTCACATCAGATCCCTTTTCAAGTTGAAAGAGGAAGAAAAAATATTGCATTTTGAAGAGATTGCAGTCTGTTATAAATGAGAATGACTAATCTATTTCATGTAAAAATTAGCCCTAGATTAAATTTTAGGATGAGCATTCTTTAAGCCAGAGCTGCATTACAGTGAAGTTTTCACTAGCTAAAGTAATAACATTAACCCAAAGAAGAGGTAGGTATTTAAATTTGTCTCTCTCATTTTTCATTAACTAATAGAATGATTCTGATCACTCACTTCATCTCTTGGTTCAGGTGAGGATGGTAAAAATTTTGTCACTGTGGAGCACTGTGGTGATGATTTTCTTGCTGCACTTGCTGATGCTATGCAAGACACTGAGGAATGGGAAGATCTGGAAGCTATTGAATCTGAAGCCTGCGGTGCGTTAAGTAAAATTATAGAGAAGAAGGTAGCCAATAATCATGGTATAGAGAATGGGTCTTCATTTGGCAGTTCTGACATCGGAAAGGAAGATTTACATGGGCATTCAATGGATGAAGCTTTGAAGGCATCGACTTCCTTTGTTGTTGATGATGATTCAGATTTGGAAATCTTGAGCCAAAAGGATGGTCATCCCTTTAATACTAGTAGGAAACATGATAGAAGTGCCCCTCAGCGTGCGAGCAAACAACCCTTAATCTCAACAGTAAGTGGCCATTGTTCTTGCCTTGGTCTTCAACCATCTTTTATATTCTTTTTTTGTATTTTTTAGTGTGAACATGGAAATTCTACCTCCTATCCCATTTTGGGGAGAATATTCCTCTTTTTAGCAGTAGCCAGCCTTGGATCTTTGACCTTTTGCCCCTTGCACCAGTTATCTTTTGATCCCTGCAAACAACCAAGCCCCTCTTGGTTTTATTCTTCATATGTAGTTTGGTAACAGGTTTTATATGTTAGCAAGCTTTTACTCATGTCCAACACAAGAACTCTTAAACAGGATACATGATAGGAATATACATATGTGCATACATACATACATAGTATAAAATAGCAATGACATCCTTAGAGGATCAAGAAGCTCTTTTGTCACTACTTGTTTATCTATCTCGTTACATTGACATAGGTAATGTCACACCCTGGGCCCATGGGCCCTGTTGGCGCGTGTAAGCCATGAGACCCACAGAGAGCAACTCGATGTTGGCTAACATCTACTTGCCAAATTGCTGGCACTTAGTTACCCTCGAGTCTTGGCTTTTCTCTATTTAAACCACAAAATTTTCTTCACGCTAGTCTATATGAGACTAAAGTGTGGGGGTATCACAATCACCCCACCTTATAAAGAGACATGACAATTGGCACATCCCAGTGTCACTGCCAGGCGATTTGGATTCTAGAGGTGGCTCCTAGGAGTTCTAGAGATGGCTCCCACCACATCCACACTTCCAGTGCGGTGTAGCACTTAGTCTTTCATAGCACTTAGTTCCACACTTCTGGCTAGCAACCTGCTCTGATACCATTTTGTCACACCCCGGACCCATGGGCCCTGTTGACGCGTGCAAGCTGTGGGACCTACCAAGAGCAAGTTGGCTTAAATCCACTACCAAAATGCTAGCACTAGTTGTTCTTGGGCCTTTGGCTTTTTTCTATTTAAACTACAATGTAAGCAAAGCATGACATGAGTTTGGATGATTATGGGAGCAATGTAACACTTGTTTACAACTTTTTCTTCACATGTACATCCATGTAGCTAGACTTTCTATTCTTTGACAACAGTGATGTCCTATTTTTCTACTTGATAATTGCATGAGAAATATCTGAGTAATAGGACATGGATGTCTAAGTGTTCGACATAACAAGATAAACTTGAATAATTAATGGTAGCTGGTTTATTGGTGGCGTGATCAAGTCCTTACTTACCTTTGCAATACAAACAGAGCTGGAGTCAAGCGAGAACTGCTGCAACTTAGCTGCCTTTGGATCATTCCAAGATGTATGAGTAATTTCTTCCAGTAAAGATTGGTTCTGAGGTTGAGACATAGACTTCAGGTTCTGTGCTTCAGTTTTCTGAGTGACAATTTCCAAATACTTGTGAAGTCTTGTGCCAGCAACTAGCATCTTTTTGTTCCACATACAACTACCCTTTCTACCCATGTGTTGTGGAATGGGTATTCAGAAGCTACACAATGTATTTTCTTTTAATTGTGAAATAATTATCTAGGAAACATTTCTTCACCTTTGGTGCTAGTCATATGCATTTGTATATTGTTCAAATATCAAACAATTGATAGTGCTGGTAAGCAGCAAAATGGAACTTTGAAGTTTACTAGGACAGTAGGACTAGGACACATTTGTTATCTGTCATCTGGTACTCGGACGAGCATCTTACCGAAAGGATGAGCACTGGCCTTGATGATTATTCATATGTCAGATATAACTAGTTGTCAGATATAACTAGTTATATCTGACTGGTATTTTGACTTTGTTCATAAATTATGCCTTGCCATCTAAGCATATTTTATTCATTATTTGAAGGTGTATGAAAGTGTCAATAAACAAGGAGCAATTCCATCACGTTCTAATGGTGATCTATGCAACGATGCAATGAAAGATGGTCATGGGAGACTAGGATACAATGAGCTGCAGGCCATGGATGACATTGAATTGGCTAATGTGGTAGTATTTGGTAATATGACGTTTCGATCACTGCAGTATCAAGCTTGTAAGGCAGCTACTGAGAATAGAGATTGCTTTGTTCTTATGCCCACTGGTGGAGGCAAAAGTTTATGTTACCAGGTCGCATTCTCTCTGTTAATGTAGTGGTAGTCTTTAGAAAAGTACACATGGCATTTTGTTTTATACATGCTTTGAATGTATCTGCAAACTCTTCAGATATGGATGCTATCCAATATTAATCAAGAGAAAACATGTGACAAATAGGGTTAGGAATAATTTGACATAACTTTGTTATTAACAAACCTGATAATTGGAACATGCCCCTAAAATTGAGAATAATGTTTAATTGATATGATTTGGTTTTGTAGTCTTTTTCTGCATATTTAAGTAAACACTTTGTCTCCAAGTTGCTAGAGATCTTGAACACAGTTTTCCATTCAATTCGAGAGAAGAATTAATCGAGCAAGTGAAGACAGATGTTTAATGAGAAACAGCAGCACATATGCAGTAAAATGTCTAAGATGATAAGGTTAACAAAATTTCTGGCAATTAAGAATCCAAAAATCATTTCTTATATTATCATTTAAGTCTGCACAATTCCTGGAAAATAGTTGCCTTATTCTGCTCAGATATCATATATTTTTTAAATAAATCTAAAATGTATTCTTGCATTTGAAAGGCAAATCTTATAATAAATTGCAGCTCCATCATATATCAGTTGACAGTTTCACTGATTCTATCATTTCATTTCAGCTCCCTTCAACTCTCCATCCAGGTGTAACCATTGTAGTATGCCCCTTACTCTCACTGATTCAGGATCAGATCATTACGCTGAACATGAAGTACGGCATACCAGCAACATTTCTAAACTCTCAACAAACTACTTCACAGGCATCGGCTGTCATGAGAGAACTGAGGTGGGGAATCTATTATATGTTCTTTTTCTTTTTCATTCTAATAAGAGCATTGTATAATTTCTATAAAATAAAGCATCCCATTGTGTGCGCTTCGAAGGGTTATATTATATGCTTTTCCTTTTTTCCTCAATAAAAGCATTGGCTATGATGAAGCAAATGCATTCAAAAACAGCATGAACGTGTGACCTCCATTACAAGCAAGTCCTTTACCTCTCTTCCAAGTTCTTTTTCTATAGCCTAAAGAAGTCCAAAGTTGTGGGATTGTAATGCAATAACTTCAGGCCTAGGAAGATTCCTTTTTTCATTTGTTGTTCATTGACAGGAAAGATGCACCATCCTGCAAGCTCTTGTATGTCACTCCTGAAAGAATAGCTGCAAATTTTTCATTTATGGAAACCTTACGATGTCTTCATCAGAAGGTAGCTGTTACGCTTCTTAAACTTCTGAATGCACTTCATCTTTCTTTATGATTGTAATATTAATCATTTGAGGTATTGCTGGAGAGAAGGGTCTAATGATAGTTACTATCTTTCAGGGTCTACTAGCAAGGTTTGTGATTGATGAAGCACATTGTGTAAGGTAAGGTATTTCCAATGCTAGGCGTTTTAACAGTCATGGTCTAGATTGTTAACATTGCCAGGGAGTTAATGAAAATTTTAGAAATTAGTACGAAGTCTCTCTAAATTTTACTTTACAATATTGTGATTCACAGTCAATGGGGCCATGATTTTCGTCCAGATTATAGAGCCCTTGGATGCCTTAAGCAGAATTTTTATCGAGTTCCTATAATGGCCTTAACTGCAACTGCAACCCACACCGTCCGAAAGGTAGTATTTGACATTTCTTCTCCATTATTCTTTCGAGCAGAATTGAAGTTTTTAAATTTGATTTACATATGCAGGACATCTTGAATACCCTGAAAATACCAGATGCTCTTGTTCTGGAGACGAGTTTTGATAGGCCTAACCTGAAGTATGAAGTCGTGGGTAAATGCAAAGATCCATTGAAGCAGCTTGGGCAGCTGCTGAAAGAGAGATTCAAGAACATGTGTGGAATAGTATATTGCCTCTCGAAAAGTGAGTGTGTGGAAGTCTCTAATTATTTAAATCAGAAGTGTAAGGTGAAAACGGTATATTATCATGCTGGTTTAGCCGCTCGTCAGAGAGTTTCTGTTCAAAAGAAATGGCATACCGGAGAAGTTCATGTTGTTTGTGCGACAATTGCATTTGGAATGGGAATAGACAAAGCTGATGTTGTGAGTCTTGCTAGAACTTGCACTTTCTGCTTCTGTTATTCTTATAACTACAAGCTGCATATAGTTCCTTAGAGGTTTTATGGTATGCAGTTATTAATACTTCAACTTTGCAGAGGTTTGTAATCCACAACACCTTGTCTAAATCAATCGAAAGCTATTACCAAGAATCAGGGAGAGCAGGAAGAGACGGTCTACCCGCAGCATGCATTGCACTTTACCAGAAGAAAGATTTTAGTCGAGTTGTGTGCATGCTACGTAGTGGACAAGGTTCTAGAAGCGAAAGCTTTAAGGCAGCTATGACCCAAGCAAAGAAAATGCAGGGATATTGTGAACTGAAGGTACCTCATAATTTCGTATTTTGCTTAGTGCCATGCTGATGTGCCTCACAATTACTACATATTCCCGTTATGATTTCTTGTCTCCCGTTTTCCCATTTGTACATGAATTAAATAAATCTATATCTTAGACTGAGTGCAGGAGGCAAGCACTTTTGGATCATTTTGGAGAATGCTTCAACAGAGATGTCTGTAAATATGGATCCAGTCCCTGTGATAACTGCACTAAGATGTTGGGTTGAGTCTATATGTATGATTTTAAAGTGTGCCTGAGCTCAATTATTAAAGTTCCTGTAAGATGTGTTTGTGGTTCACCTTCTATGTTTCAATATCACTGTATTCACATTATAACTTTTGGTTATATCTGTATCTTTCAGAGGCAGCATAAGTGAAGTAGTTTGAGCTCTAACTTTTGATCCCTCATCACCCAGGATCCCATATTTGAAGACCTAAAACTGAGAATTGCCTTCAAAAACTTCAATACAGGTTACTACTTTTCTACTTTTTCTGAATATAAATTTTATATAATTCACATCATGTTCACTTTTTCATTTTGCTGTTTTGTTCCTTAAATGGGGAGTTCGTATTTGTTATTTATTGGTTAAATGTGCAACCTCTCCCGTTACAAGTAACAAATTTCTGTTCTGCGGCTTCTGCCAAAGGATACACTTATCTTTCGCTGGTTACTGAAATGTATAACCTTTCTTTTCTAACTTATGCTAGATCCCTCTGCACAAGTGTGTGTTACACATAGAAAATTAGCAGAAGATACAATCAGTTCAACAAAACAAACTAGAGTATTCAAATATGATTATACTGTTCAGCTCAAATAAGTTCAGTGGTCCTTTTGGTTATAGATAGACAGTAAGGCTCTTGTGTTTTGGTTGATATGGATGTCTTGTGAAGAGGGTGGATGGTGATGTTATGGTAAGTTAAGGGGAAGTTTGGGGTTTGTTTAGTTGTCGAGAAATAAGTGGGCGAGGAGATTTTCATCCAAAGTATCTCAAGGCCATGCAAGATTGTAGAAAAAGCTTGTGGGTACATTTGTACATGATTATCTATATATCTGTTTATTTTCTTCAAATAGAGTTTCAATAACCAAACAGACAGTAATCCCTTCGACACAGTCAGCGTGATCTGCATGCGTCATTTGATTATGTTACAACGGGAGGCTTTACAGACACAGAAGATGTCTATACAAAAATGGATAACATCCAAAGTATCTCAAGGCCATGCAAGATTGTAGAAAAAGCTTGTGGGTACATTTGTACATGATTATCTGTATATCTATTTACTTTCTTCAAATAGAGTTTCAATAACCAAACAGACAATAATCCCTTCAACACATTCAGGTGTAATCTGCATGCGTCATTTGATTATGTTACAATGGGGGGCTTCACAGACACAGAAGATGTCTATACAAAAGTAAATAATAACAACACTGAATAAATACAGTGAAGACAAAGAGAACAACACATAAGGATTTAACGTGGTTCGATCAGTATGACCTACGTCCACGGACGAGAACAGCAGAGAACTTCACTAATCACAAAAGAGAATATTACAAAGGGAGATCACTCTAATATCTCACCAAACCCACACAAAGAAGAGACGAACTCTTTTTGCTTTTTCTCTTCAACTCTCTTTCTTTTTCTTTTTGTTCCGGATCTCTGTTCGATGTTGTAACCTTTCACCACTATTCTATTTATAACCTTCAAAAGGGTTGATGGAACAGTGTTTTGGGTTGGTGGAACAGTAATAGGGTTGGTGAGTTTTGAATTCAAAGTCAAAAAATAAGAAATCTCCACATTAACTTTGAATATGAAGATCTTCTATTCACTCATGCCGTCTCGATAGAAGCTCTTTACGAGCTTAACATCCGCTTTGTTGAACTCACAGCAATTCGAGACAATGCTCGAACTTGCGTGAAGATACGAGCTTCGTCATTATATCTGTTAGATTATCTGCAGTACCAATTTTCTTAATTTTAATGACTTTAATTTCTCTGATAAAATGATACCTGATATCTATTTATTTGGTTCTTTCATGATACATCTAATGCTTCGTCAAATGTACATCACTCTAGCTGTCACAAAATACCGTAGTAATACTTTGGTGTAAGCTGGTATCTTCAACCAAACATCTTAACCAAATAGCTTCTTTCACTGTTTTTGTCACTGCCATATACTCTGTCTCTGTGGTAGACAAAGCAATTGTCGACTGCAGAGTCGCTTTTCAACTAACGGAACTACCTGAAAGAGTGAATATATAAACTGTTAGGAATCGTCTCTTATCCAAATCGTCTGCATAATCTGAATGAGAATAGCCAAGTATTCTGCAATCTGAGTTTGTGTTCCTGCCCAAATATAAACCAATATATGAAAGAATCATCATTGAGTTTTTTATGATAAACACAACTATCATATTTACTCCTAGAGTAATCATACTCAAACATGAAAGTATCAAATCTTAAATACCATTCTCGGAGACTGTTTCAAGCCATAAAGAAATTTCTTCAACCTACACACATGATCTTTTTTACCTTTAACAACGAGACCCTCTGGTTGATGTATAAAGATCTGTCCTTCAAGCTCGCAATGTAGAAAAGCCGTCTTCACATAAAGTTGCCCAAGCTCCAAATTAAATGAGCAACCATAGAAAGCAATACGCGTATTGATGTGTGTTTTACATCAGGAGAGAATACTTCATTGAAGTCCATACCTTCGGTCTGACAGTAGCCTTTAGCTACCAAGCATGCTTTGTACCTTACAAAGTTTGTATCCAAAGTTTTTTCTTTCTTCTTAAACACCCATTTATAACCAACGATCTTTTGTCCCCTTGGTAGCTTCACCAACTCTCATGTTTGGCTCTTGTGAAGAAACTTCATCTCTTCAGTCATCGGAAAGTCCAATCTGCAGCCTCATTGCCATTAATAGTCTCATTGTAAGTAGAAGGTTCTAGAATCTCAATCGATTTTGTTATACTCAAAGCGTAAGCAGGCATATCTGCATAGCGTTGAGGAGGTCAGATATGTCTTTTTGTTCTCCCGGTAGCAATACTGTACTGTTGCTCTTGCGGTGTATTAGCATCTGAAGTTAAACTTTTCACAGTGTCAACTGGTTCAACATGAGCGCCCCTCAAGCACTCTCTTTAAAATTGAGCTCTCTAGTTTCACCTGCTTGCTAGACTCTTTTTTAGTACATGTGGTATCAATAACAAACTCTTTTCTCGGGTGAAGCATTGATTTTTCATCAAAAGTAACATCCCTACTAATAATAAAGTTAGGTGATTTGGGATCAAAACATCACAATTTATATCTCTTCACCTTAGTAGCGTATCCTAGAAAGATAGCTTTCTTTGTTATGGGTTCAAGCTTAAGGTCATTAACATGAAAATAAGCAGAGCAACCAAATACTCTAAATGAGAATAATTAGCCGGAGCACCAGACTATACCTCTTATGGAGTCTTAAAATTAATTGTTGTAGAAGGAGATCTGTTTAGATCTGTTTGTTAAATAGTAAGCTGTATTGACTGCATCAGCCCAAAAGTCTTTTGACAAACCGGCATTAGAGAGCATGCATCGAGCTCTCTCCAAAAGTGTTTTGTTCATCCTTTTTGCAACTCTATTTTGTTGTGGTGTATGTCGAACTGTACGATGACACACAATACCTTTATTCTTGCAAAATTGGTCAAACTCTGCGGAACAAAACTCCATTCCGTTATCAGTTTTGAGGCGCTTCACTTTCTTTCATGTTTGCTTCTCAATCATAACATTCTATTGTTTAAAAGGTTGCAAACAAATCACTCTTATGCTTCAAAGGATACACCCAAATTTTTTTAGAATAATCATCAATTAATGTTAGCAGAAAACGAGCTCCACCTTTTGATGGAACCTGAGAGGGACCTAAAACATCTGAATGAATATAATCTAAAGTATCTGAATGAATATAATCTAAAGTATCTTTAGTTCTGTGGACATCGATACTAAAGGAGATACAATGGTGTTTACTGAAAATATAATGCTCACAAAAGTTTAGCTTACTAGTTTTCTGACCACAAAGCAGACCTTATTTGTTCAATAGATCTAGTCCTCTCTCACTCATATGCCCTAACCGCATATGTCACAAACGTGTAGTGTCAGAATCTGAATCCTTTGAGGATGACACTGCTACAGCACCTGTAACTATACTGCCTTCAAGGATATAGATGGTATTTACCTTCTTTCCTTTCATCACAACAAGAGAGCCTTTACTAACTCTCAAAATTACACCTTCAGTCGAAAACTTAAAACCATTTGAGTTAAGAGTGCCTAAAGAAATAAGGTTTTTCTTTAACTCTGGTATATACCGGACATTGCTCAATGTTATAACAATATTATCATGGGTTACCATCAATAGATTGATATGTGACAAAGCAATCCATATGTGGACACATATGATAGGAACAACGCGAATTAAGAACTCACTCATCTTGTGAATGAATATTAACACTAACTGAAAGAACTTTATGTGAACTAGAAGACTCTTCAGTTATAGTGACAACTAAAGGTTTCACCTCCCCAGACTTCGATTGTGAATTATCCTTTGCTTTGAGCGTTGGACAATTAGGTTTTATATGCTCATACTTGTGACAGTAATAACGTTCTATATTTTTTCTTTGCCTAGATTTTGATCTAGACATATTTTTAGATTTGCTTCTACCACCAACACCCTTTTCAGGACGACCACAAGTGAACAAGCCTTCAGCTTGATCATTTCCACCTAAGACAAACACTTTTTGCCTTAATTCTTTTGAATGTAATGTAGATTTGACATCCTCTAAAGAAAGTGTATCTCTACCGTATAACATGCTATTAACAAAATTCTCATAAGAATGAGGTAATATTGTAATAAACATAACAAAATAAGGGCTTAATCTTCTTTATCAATTTTAACATCAATATTTTTTAAATCCATAAGAATAGTGTTAAGTTCATCCAAATGGTCTTTAATCCGCATATCTTCCTTCATGCGAAGGGTGAAGAGGTGTTGTTTTAAGTAGAGCTTGTTCGTTGGATATTTCGTTATGTACAAGCTCTCCAACTTGAACCACAAGTTGGCGGCAGTATCTTCATTGGCAACCTCCTGCAGGCCTCATCGGCTAAATAGAGCTGTATGACACTATGCACATTTATCTCCAGCTCTTCTTTCTCATTATCGGGTATGGATTCCGACAACTTGTCTTTTCCGAACAAGAATTTGAACAATCCTTATTGTACTAGGAGAGTCCTCATTTTTACTCTTCACAAACTGAAGCTGTTTCTCCCATTGAATTTTTTACTTTTTATTTTACAGAAGACATCTTGAAGCCTACTAGCATAATGACTCTAATTGTGAACAGTAACCGTACTTGTAAAATAGTGCACGGTGCCCTAAGCCAGGCTCTGATATCAGTTTGTTGCAGCATGGGGCTTAACAGACACAAAAGATGTCTATACAAAAGTGAGTAATAACAACACTGAATAAACAAAGTGAAGATAAAGAGAACAAAACAAAAGAATTTAACGTGATTCGGTCAGTATGACCTATGTCCACGGGCGAGAACAACAGAGAATTTCACTAATCACAAAAGAAAAGATTACAAAGGGAGATCACTCTAGTATCTCACCAAACTCGCACAAAGAAGAGAACACTCAAAGAAAACTCTCTTTTTGTTTTTTCTCTTCAACTCTCTCTTTCGTCTTCTCTTTGTTCTGGATCTCTGTTCGATGTTCTAGCCTTTCACCACTCTCCTCTATTTATAGCCTTCAAAAGGGTCGGTGGAACAATATTTTGAGTTGGTGGAACAGTGTTTTGGGTTGGTAGAACAATTATAGGGATGGTGAGTTTTGAATTCAAAGTAAAAAAATAACAGATTGCATTAGCATTTTTAGTGAAGAACCATTTTAATTAGAACGTGCTAAAAGTGTGAACGATGCTGTTTGATTTCCATTACTATTGTATGAATTAAATCAAGGGCTTTTTGTTTTTAGGTCCATTTGTTTACCTAGCTTTATCTTTAAACCCAAGAATTATTAGGTGTATCTTTAAACCCAATTCCAAAATATAATACTCTCATATGTGGGTCCCCCTATATAAGGAAATTGGGTTTAAAGATAAATACAAAAAGAAAGTTGGGTTTAAAGATACAACTAATAATACTTGGGTTTAAAGATAAAGCTAGATAAACAAATGGACCTAAAAACAAAAGGCCCTTAAATCAATGATAAATGAGCCCTGACATAATTACATGTGTAACTGACAAGGACTTTGAATTATTTTGTAGGGCGATTTGTACTGCTCGCAATCAAACCTGAAATGCAATGTCTATTATCCTAAGCTCGCCAGTAGCAAACTCCATATTTACTCGAGTGAGGTTTGTTGATAGGTTTACCAGATTATTAGCATATTTGGTTGTACTTTCGGATCACAAAACTAAGACATCAACAAAAGGAAACAAGCTCTGCAAGTTCGAAAATGAGGCAGTGTTTCCTGTTTGGTTTCTCCTCTGTGTATTTGCACCTCTTTTAGCTCTTTTACTTGCAGTATTGTTAGGAAAGAATATATGTTAGGAAATAATATATATATATAGTATATATTTTATATGGATGTTTGGAAAGAATATATGTTAGGAAATAATATATATAGTATATTGTTTTCCCTGATTATTAGCCTGTGATTACAGGTTTGTACGCTATATATTGAACACTCTGTGAATAATAAGAAAATGACCTTTCATCCCAATTTTATCATGGTATCAGAGCCTAAAATAAGATCCAAACCCTAAAATTCCCACCAACACCGACGAAGAAGAGCCGGACCAACCATCAGATCTAGCGGCTTCGCCTCCCTCCCCCTTCCTTCGTTTTTTTTTCGGCCCACCCTCCACCATGTCTCAAACATCCAAAAACACCGACGAACCTGAATCCTCCACCAACGTGGTGGATAAACCCACCAAGGTGGATACTTCTTCACCATACTACATCCATTCAAATGATTCTCCGGGTAGTTTGATCACTACCACTATTCTGGTTGGCTCTAATTAGGTTGGCTCTAATTATGAGGAATGGTCGAGATCTTTTCGGCTTTCTCTTGTTTCCCGACGTAAGTGGGGATTTATTGATGGCTCCATTGTTAAACCTGTTTCCGCTGCACAGATTCTTGACTGGGATTGTGTTCAGGCTATGCTGGTGCAATGGATTTTGAATAGTATTGATTCTTCCCTGCGGAAGACGATACCTTATTTTGAAGAAGCGCGTCCTCTGTGGGCGTTACTGAAGAAACGTTTTAATGTTGGCAATGGTCAGCGCAGACAGCAGATCAAGAAGGCGTTGTCTCGTTGTCGTCAGTCCAAGACTATGTCAGTTGCAGAATATTTTGGGATGTTGCAACCATTATGGGATGCTTTGGCTACTTACAATCCAGTCCCTGTTTGTCGTTGTGGGAAGTGTGAATGTGACTTGGGGGAATTATTTCAGGCTCGCTTTGATGAAGAATGTTTTCATGATTTTTTGGCTGGCATCAATGAAGAATTATACAGTAATGTACGATCTACTCTTCTTGCACAAGATCCTACACCTACTTTGGATAGAGCATATCAGGCAATGTTGGCTCAGGAGACATTGCGATTGGGGAATCGTGTTGATGCTGAACGTGATGAAGTTATGGCCATGGCTGTTCGTACTGCACCCTCAGGTAACCGTCGATCTGATTCGGGTGACAGATCTAAATTTGTGTGTACCTATTGCTCTAAATCAGGCCACGAGGAATCCCATTGCTTTGCAAAGAATGGGTATCCCGACTGGTGGCAGGCGGAGCGTGGGGCTGGTGCACAGCGCGGAGGTGGACGCGGACGCGGGACTGGGTTCGCGGCTGGATAGGGTCGTGGCAGCGCTGGCGGAGCTGCCAGGCTCGGTAGAGGGACAACGGCAGGCAGGGGCGCCGAGGTGCGTGCAGTGCAGGCGGGTTCGAATGTCTCTGGTGAATCCCCATTACCTGGTATGTCTACTGAACAGTGGCAACAGGTTATTGGAATTTTTTCCAAGGCCGTTGCTACTACTTCAGATGATCGCTTGATGGGTAAGTACTATGCTAATTCCTGGATTATCGATACTGGAGCTTCGAGTCATGTTACTGGAGATATGAGTTTATTATCTAATATTTGTGAGATGCCACCCTGTCCTGTTGGTCTGCCTGATGGCAAGAAGGCTATTTCCACTAGTTTTGGTTCAGTGCATTTTAAATGTGGATTGATTTTGAGTCGTGTGTTATTAGTACCTGAGTTCAACTGTAATTTAATTTCTGTGTCTCATTTGTCTGATGACTTGGATTGTTTGGTGCACTTCACAAAAACTCTTTGTGTTATACAGGACCGCAGCTTGAGGACCCTGATTGGAGTAGGTGAACGAAGAGATGGACTTTATTATCTGCGGGATGACTCAGGAGTGTATGCGCATACAGTTGATGGAGGTGATTTGGTGGATTTGTGGCATAGGCGTTTGGGGCATCCTTCAGAGAAAGTAGTCAGGTCGTTACCTTTTATTTATAGCACTAGTCAGTCTGCTAATAAAGCTTGTGGTGTGTGTCATCAAGCTAAACAGACTAGAGATAAATTTCCAGTTAGTGTGAATAAATCTAAGTGCATTTTTGAGATGTTACATTGCGATCTTTGGGGTCCCTATCATACTCAGTCGTCGTGTGGTGCTCGTTATTTTTTGACTATATTGGATGATTTTTCTCGTTCAGTGTGGGTGTTCCTTTTATTTGATAAGTCTGAAGTAACTCGATTTTTCAAATCATATTTTGCTATGATTGAAAGACAATTTGATGCTGTGGTAAAAATTGTTCGGAGTGATAACGGGACAGAATTTAATTGTATGAAGAAATTTTTTTTCGAAAAAGGGATTTTATTTCAATCATCGTGTGTTGGTACTCCTCAACAAAATGGGAGAGTAGAGAGGAAGCACTGTCACATTTTAAATATTGCTCGAGCACTTAGATTTCAGGCAAATCTACCTATTAGTTTCTGGGGAGAGTGTGTGTTGGCTGCTGTTTACCTTTTAAATCGTACCCCCACACCCTTGCTTGATGATAAAACTCCATATGAAATTTTGTTTGGCATGTCACCTAAGTATGATGAACTTCGTATATTTGGTTGTTTATGTTATACCCATAACCAGAGGTCTAAGGGTGATAAATTTCTGAGTAGGAGTCGAAAATGTGTTTTTGTTGGTTATCCTCATGGGCAGAAAGGGTGGAAGTTATATGATCTAGACACGCATGAATATTTTGTTTCGAGAGATGTGGATTTTTGTGAAACTAGTTTTCCATTTGCTGCTGAGTCGAGTACTTCTGTAAAGCATTCCTTGGTTTTTCCTAGTGTTCCTGAATTGGATGATCAGGAAATTAATTTTGAAGAACAGGGGGGACAGGATGGGGTTACTGTGTGTCCAGGCACGGTGCAACCACCGCCACCTGCACACGGCAGCAACCCACCCGAGGCAGGGGGTGGACGGTGATGGTTCAGCGGCATGACGGGGGTCCGAGTTGTTGGAGGGACCTTCGTTGTTGCCTTCGGATACTCTGGCTGAGCCTGTTTCTGAGTTAGCAGAGTCGAATACTAGTACTAAGGAGATTATTAATACTGAGGAGATTGGCAAGGGAAAAAGGAAGAAAGTGCCTTTGACTAAGCTTCGTGATTATGTGACTAATACAGTGCAGATAATAAGTCCGGTCTCCTCGCCACCTGCCTCAGTTAAGACCTCAGGTACTGCTTTCCCTATAACCAGTTTTGTGAATTGTAACAAATTTTCTGTGGGACATAGAAGTTTTCTTGCAGCCATAACTACAGGTACTGAGCCCAAGTCCTTTCGAGAGGCTATGGAGGATGCTGGATGGAGGGAAGCCATGCATAGCGAGATTCGCGCTCTGGAAGAGAATGGGACTTGGGAGATGGTTGATTTACCCCCTGGAAAGCGGGCTCTAGGGAGCAGATGGGTGTACAAGGTGAAATACAATTCAGATGGGAGCCTGGAACGTCTCAAGGCACGTTTGGTCATATTTGGGAATCACCAGATTGAAGGAATCGATTACACTGATACTTTTGCTCCTGTTGCTAAGATGACTACTGTTCGTACTTTCTTAGCTGTAGCAGCTGTAAAGAGATGGGAGTTGCATCAGATGGATGTACACAACGCATTCTTACATGGAGATTTAAATGAAGAGGTGTATATGAAATTGCCACCTGGATTTCATGGGCATGCTCCAGGGAAGGTGTGCAGACTGCGCAAATCTCTGTATGGTTTGAAGCAGGCACCTAGATGTTGGTTTGCAAAGCTAGCAGGAGCGTTGCGTACGTATGGTTTTACTCAGTCTTACTCAGACTATTCATTATTTGGTTATATCAAAGGGAAAGTACAGATTAATATTCTGGTATATGTTGATGATCTGATTATTTCTGGGAATGACTCGGTTGCACTGTCTGAATTTAAACAATATCTGAGTAAATGTTTTCATATGAAAGATTTGGGTATTCTCAAATATTTCTTGGGGGTAGAGGTTGCTCGAAGTGCAGAAGGGATTTATTTATGTCAACGTAAATATACTCTAGACATTATTTCTGAGACAGGACTTCTTGGAGCAAAGCCAGTTTCTTTTCCAATGGAGCAGAATCACAGGCTCAGCACTTCTGAGAGCGCGGACTTGGAGGATCCCGAGGCGTACCGTCGGCTGGTTGGACGGCTTATTTACCTGGCTTTTACTCGACCAGATCTGGCTTATTCTGTTCATATTTTGTCTCAGTTCCTTCAGGCACCAAAGCAGGATCACTATGATGCAGCACTCAGAGTGGTTCGCTATTTAAAGGGATGTCCTGGACAGGGGATTTTGCTTCGAAGTGATTGTAATTTGACACTTACTGGGTGGTGTGATTCTGATTGGGCAAGTTGTCCTATTACCAGACGTTCTCTGTCAGGATGGGTTGTCTTTCTGGGGAGTTCACCTATCTCCTGGAAGACAAAGAAGCAGGTTACTGTTTCTCGCTCTTCAGCTGAGGCAGAATATCGATCTATGGCTGCAGTATTATGTGAATTGAAGTGGCTCAAAGGCTTGTTACTCAGTCTAGGAATTCGACACCCTGGTCCTATGCCAGTACACTGTGACAGTCAGTCTGCTATTCATTTAGCTCAGAATCCTGTTTTTCATGAGCGTACTAAACATATTGAAGTTGATTGTCACTTCCTTCGGGATGCTATTCGAGATGGGTTGATTACTACTGTTCATGTTCCTACAGTTGAACAGCTAGCAGATATTTTTACCAAGGCTCTTGGGAAGCAGCAGTTTCAGTTTCTACTCAGCAAGTTGGGCATTTGTGACCTTCATGCTCCAACTTGAGGGAAGGTGTTAGGAAAGAATATATGTTAGGAAATAATATATATATATAGTATATATTTTATATGGATGTTTGGAAAGAATATATGTTAGGAAATAATATATATAGTATATTGTTTTCCCTGATTATTAGCCTGTGATTACAGGTTTGTACGCTATATATTGAACACTCTGTGAATAATAAGAAAATGACCTTTCATCCCAATTTTATCAAGTATCTGATCAACTTCAAACCATAGTGCATGTGATTGCTGCTGTGACAAGTTACAAAAGTAGAAGGGCAGCTAAGCCTGAATCTATTATTAGTCATATTTTTCTCGGCTAGATGGCGCTTAAAAACCCTATTGTTTCACCACGTTTACGTTAAATGCCCTAAGTTGTAAAAAGTAGCATTTTAATACTCTTAAGTTGCAAAAAATTTAGCATTTTAATATCTAAAGTTGTAAAAAATTGGCATGTTAGTACCTTCTGTTAGTTTCATATAGGAATATTCGTAGGAATATTCCCATGTGATTAGCGCGTGACATTTTAATAATTATATTGACCACGTTTATTGTTATATTTACCACTATGCCTATCCTTCATCATTTTATTAAATTTCTGTGGAGGGGTATTTTTTTCATAACGGTGTTCATCATATTCTAACGGTAGACACCTTAGGGTATTTATGTAATATTTTTTGCAATTTAGAATATTTATCTGTAAAGATGGTGAAACAATAGGGTACTTTTAAGTGTCATTTTAGCCTATTTTTCTCTGTTATAAGAATTACAACCATGTGCGGTTTATGTGGGCAAGAATGGGACTCTTCTTCTGCATTTCCTGTCAATTGAAGCTGGGGGGAAACTTTACGGCAACCTCCCATCTTCAAAAATGACAACTGTGACAGTGAGGAGTTGGGCGAGCAGTTTGAATGATGGCAATTGAAAGAGAAGTGAGAGCAAGCCAACTAGGACTCAGTTGGGGTCAAAAGAAAAAGCATGCCACTTCTAACTGTCGGTTAAACCTCATATCAGATTATACTTTTTTTTTCTTAATTATGAGCTTCACATGTTTTACCATTCATCAAGAGTTTTGTTATATGATGGTCATCTCATTATGCAATAGGAGGGGGACAGCTCATCTGTCCCCTCTGTAGGTCCCATATTTTGGGTCCTTAGCAAATTTTTCCCACCCTTAATATGGTTTTATAAGCACTAAAACAAATTTTAACAAAATACAGCTAAACGCCGCACGTGCATACACTGCAAGCGACAGCTAGGGGTCGAGTGCACAAACCGTGTGCGCCCAACAGCAAACTAAACCCAACGAAGACCAACCCATCACTCTCATGAGAAACCGCGTACATGCAAAAGAGAGGCGCAAAAATAATAAATAAATAAATCTCCCTCAACCCTATAAAACCCCAAACCTAAATCTCTCATCCTACGTTCAACACCCTCACGCTCTGTTCTGCCTTCACCACCCTCACCGTTCTCAAAATGCCGAAACACAAGAATCCGACACGTGCACTGGCCGCCCGTGCTTGGCGCCTCCTCCGCCTCGCCTTCAACCGTCTCAGGTCCCTCTGCACCGATCACCGCCGCCGCTCCTCTAGACTGCATTATGGTGAGCACGAGCTTTCCTTCGACGAGACCCCAATCTTTCGGTTCATGAGGAAGCATCCACATCCATTTCGTTCGTGCGCTGATTCAAGGTTGGACAGTCTATATGATGATGGAGAAGATGACGACACTGGCAGCTGTGATCCTAGTCAAAGTAGAATAGAACGCGAAGTGGATCGCGGTGATGAAGGAGAGATCGATGTCAGGGCCGAAGAGTTCATATCGAGGTTTTACGGCGAGATTAAGCTTCAGAGGGAGAGGTCTTGGTTGAGATACAATGAGATGCTCTATAGGGGCATGAGTTGATTAATTGGAACGGTGTGAAAAAGTGATGACTATAGATTTTTTTTTTTAATTCTATTTTTCCATTTTTATTTGGCATCGATCAACATTTTCACCAATAAATTAACCGACAAGGGTTCACATGGAGATACTGGGACGAATGGTGAACCTAAACGATCAATGCAGTTCATCCGGTGCTGCAGAAAGTACAATAATTTGTGAAATAGCTCATACGCTATGCAAGGCACAATTAATTGTTTATCTTGATTTATGTGGGCCTCAAAAAGTACAATAATTGATTCTTGCTTGCACTCAACACTACCATAAAAATCCTCCCCCTTTCCCCTGAGTTTGCTCAAAGAGTCTCACTAGAGGCACACCATGAACCACACTCTCAACCACACCCCTACACTCTCTATAGTGCTAGTGGGCCATGCATGATATTTTTTTAAAAATATCATGCATGGCCCACTAACACTATAGAGAGTGTAGGGGTGTGGTTGAGAATGTGGTTCATGGTGTGTCTCTAACATTATTTTTGCTCAAAATCTTAGCTCTTGTCAAGCTGGAGTCAATGTAGGTTAAACTGGTAAGACATTATAATCATGCCAGAACTTCCGTTGCTTTGTTTATAATGTGTGTGTGTTTTTTTTCCCCTTCCAATTGTTTGGTAGAAACCACATTTAGTAACTTTTGACGCAGTGCGGAAGTGATAACCTCGGAATCTGTCAAGGGTGTTCTCCGAATCCATAAAGAACGATATCCGAATCCACGAAAAACTTCGAATCCACAAAGAAAATATTGAAAGAGAAATTTTATTGATGAAAAGATATGCCTCTAGTGCTTACAATACTCTGCTTAAATAGAAAAAGATACAAGACTCCTACTAAGACTCAAACTTTACCAAAAATAGAGATAACAAAACTCTTCCTAAAAAGACTCCTTAAGATTAGGGAAGTCAATTGGTCAAATTTGGGATCAAACCGGATTTGCTTCCTAACCAAAACAAGCTCCTAAATCATTACCAAAAAATAGTAAAAAAACTGACAAAAACGCTGATATCTCTCAATCCGGAGGGAATTTGGCGAAACGGACGGTGGCAAAACGAACTTCGTTAGGTTTGGTCGGCCTCGTCTCGAAAAAATACGCGAATTTTCATATATAATTCGTCCAATTCCTACTTTCGGTTTGAAAGATATGATCCGTTCTTCATGGCAAGTTATTTTCCTCGACCGGGTCCGCATTTAGGCTTGAGTCTGTCCAGCTTCGACATAAATATGTCCGCCGTGTGTTCTGTAGTGGATCTTTTATGGTTCATAGTTCTTTACTGTCCCTATTAATCCCATATATTGCTTTGTTGTCTTTCGCATTTCTCACTTTCATTTTTCAGTTTGTAAGATGACAATGCTTGCATATATATATCTTTGTTTATAAGCATCTTTTATAATATAGTCTACATTAATATGTCTCGCTTTTGCTTTCAGTTAATAAGATTACCATGCTCTGATATACGTTTGCTTATAATTATTTTCTAACATAGTCTACATTTGGTTTTTTTTTTTTTTTCCAGCAAGCTGTGAACATTTGATATACTCTTAGGAACGGGAGGTATTGGGAAAGATAGCCGGTTCGATGGTAACGAACGTCATCAGCAATACCCTGATCAGTTCATACACAATCCCTTCAAACTTGTGAGGAGTCACTTTCTTTACTTTTGTGAGGAGTTGCAATACCCTGATTAGTTCATACAGAATCCCTTCAGACTTTGTGTGGAGTCACTTTCTTTACTTTTGTGAGGAGTTACCCCAAAACAACGTTCCGATGGGTAAATATCGGAAACATCTGTAACCTATAAAAGCAAAAAAAATCCTTGTTGTGACAGTTATGAGCGCCTGGAGGTTGAAGTAAAAGCGAAATGACGATTGTTGGGTTTGGTTAAGTACTATAATAAGATCAAACAGCCACAGTCGATCGTTCAGAATAGCTAGTAGCCTTGCAGTAGACAAGCACGCGTCAAGGCTTTAAGAAAAACAGATCATAGAGAATTGCATTCACCTCTACGTACAGCGCAGCGCGAGAGAAACGTGTGGAGATCAATGGAATGGCTTTCGAAAATAGTACATGATGTTAAAAAAGAAACTAAGAGATCATAACAGTGTTACATGATGTATCAAGTTCTCATGAAAGTTTGACAGAGAAACATTTTCACTTTTTCCCCATAACGCGAGGGAATCTTTTATGTATTGATCAACCTCGTACTAGCCCTGGAAAACTGCCTCCTCAACGTTTGAAGCAAAGCCAGGAGCAGGCAATCTGTGCTCAGATATTTCAGCAAGTACAAGATGGAATGTCTTGCAGAGTACGCATTTGTTGATGCTTTTAGTCTTCAACTCGAACTCGAACTTCCTTAACACATTCCCCAAAACTGTGAATTGGAGTTGCATAAGAACCACTCATTAGCGTAATAAAGAAGGTGTTCTTAACTTCTATGAAAGATTCCTTTGTTGACCAACAAAAAAAAAGATAAAAAGTACACAGACAAATCCAGATGAAAACGTCTGCGATGAAATATTTTTTGAATATCATCTACATTACCTTAACTGGGGATAAACTAAAGTGGTTGAGGGACTTTTGATCTCAAATCTGGAAGGCTACTCAGATACGCCTGTAATCGGCCTGTTGCTGCAAGTATCAAACCTGAAACAGGATTTTAACAGTCAGGAGCTGAACATAACTCCCCAACTTATAAGCAATACTAAAGGATTTTAGAAATACCAAGCAGCTTACATATTATACAGATAAATTCTCATTGGACGCTAATCAAGCAAGAGTTGCTTTTGAGCTCAATGTATAATACAAATTTTCAAGTTTCAACAATATGGAGCAACAATACAACTTACGGGATAGACATGGATTAGAAAGCAACATAGCAACTTAATCAATTATTCAGAAACTGCAAATAAAAATGAAATATATACATAAACTATGATGGCAAAAAGCCCAAAAGAATTGTGTTTGATGTATATACTATGGGCTGCTCTTAATAGTTCTGAACTCTAGCCATTCACCCCCAACCAAAACACCCACCAAAATAAAAGGGGAAAAAAACTAGATAGCTCTCTGCTTCGAATAACTCTTAACGGTGTCATAGACTCATAATACCTTAAATTTCATCATTCAAAATAATTTGAAAAGAAAGATGAAAGACGTAAGAACACAGAACATAAGGTGACCATATACTTCGCTCAAGTTTTATCACCTTGAAACAAGGCAGAAGGCCTCCCAGGTCTTGATTTGAATTCTGGATGGAACTGCACACCTATGTAGTAAGGATGATTAGGTAGCTCCAAAACCTGCTCAAGAATCCAAGATTATATCAGGTACCTGCTTGCAGTATAAACTAAGAACAAATCAGACTTCAAGCTATATTTAATATACCTCCATTCTTCTTCCACTTTCATCATTTCCCACAAACTTTAGCCCCGCACCTTCAAGTTGTTCAATAAAATCAGGATTCACCTGATTTATAAAAGCGAGAATGCTTATGAGAAATAGCATCTAGTTTGATGAGTATGACTCCAGTATACATGCAGTGCTAAGCATAAAATTAAGATCAATCACAATCACTTTCACACAAGAAATTATTAACCTTTATCTTAAGACAGAAGGACATAATACATAGCTTCTTTAGTTTGTCCACGAGAAAGAGTTTTTCCTGTTTTTAATTGAGCTGACAGAGTAAAAGTTATTGTATATTCTGCACAAGTACAGATGTTGACTCAAAAGATGACTTCATGATCTTTTTTCATGATCTTTTACCAAAAGAAAATGTCGCTGTGAGCCTTTGGTGTGCAATTCAGATTCAGTTATTGCTTTTGCTTCCCTAAACCTATTTTTCAGCTAGATTTTTTTTCCAGAAGAAAACAAAAAGAAATCATATATGAAATCATTTTCTTCATTTATACATCAAAGGAGTTATACATTAATGGATATCAACGTCAACTTCCTTCCAGATCCCTTGCCTCTCATAATTCCCTTTAACGCTTGTTAGAATATAAAAATATAACCCTCAACCCTCATGTAATGGTTAGGGGCCTTAACATGGTATCAGAGTAACCAGGTTCAAATTCTACCGATACGAATTTAAAGCGATTTTCTAAAGAAATTGACGCCGCCTGTGAGTTGGGATTTCAGCCCATAACAAGGGTGCTCAATCTACAGGCCATGATGTTAGAATATAAAAATATAACCCTCAACTCTCACCATAACTTTGGAGTTTTGCTATAATGGTTAGGGACTTTAACAAAGCTAAAGGGAATCCCTTCAGATGACATTCCGCACATATATTCAAGAACTATTTACAAATGCCTAAATAAACAATTACATAATGTACACATGCATGGAAAAAATTAAAGGCACCTGCATACAAGAAACCAAAAATCTATAGATCGCTTGGTGTAAAAGCTACAAGCACAGATTTACTTGGTGTAAAAGCTAGAAACACAGATTTAATAGGATAACCTCTACAAACCTCATATCTGTGACGATGACGCTCGTCCACACAGGCAGGATTTTGATATCTAGCAGAAATAATGTGAGTAGCAAGAAACATAAGTTTAAATAGAATTAGTTGTTTGACAGCCGATAATTATTTGCATAATTTCCTACATGTAAGGAGTACTAAGTATGCAATTTCAAAAGTAAAAGATGGATTCAATGATAAGATGAAAGGTCTGTCAAAGCATACAGCTTAGAAGTGAGACAATCAGGATTTTTGAAGAATGTAATCCGAGAACCCAATCGCATAGTACTTCCCATGTGTGTTCTTGAACCCTACATCAGTGAGTCACATAATGAGAACACAATATTTGTTAGGGGTAATTGCATATTAGTCCCTTAAATCATTCTTGATTGCCAAAATGTCCCTCAAATCTGAGTATCTGCCAAAAAATCCCTCAAACCTTCATTTTTATTGCCAAATCGTCCCTCTGGTTAGGTGAAGATATTAATTTGGGTGAAATTCCGTTGACTCAAACGGAAATGGATGGATTGTCTATATTTCCCCCAAACCCAAACTAGAGTTGTTCCAATGGTTAAATTTCCCTCTGAAGTCTCTATATAATCCCCTAAATTCTTTCCTGTACTATATTCCTCTTCATCTCCTCTAACTTCCAAAACTAAAAAAGAAGAATTTTCAGGGGTGCTTGGGTAATCTTACATGTTGGGTTAAGGCTTAACCCAAATGCACATAGAGGAATTAACAGAATCCCTGACAGAGGGACAAATTGGCAATAAAAGTGAAGATTCGTGGACTCTTTGGCAGACACTAAGATTTGAGGGACTTTTGGCAATTAAGATAATTTAAGGGACTAACATGCAATTACCCATATCTGTTAATGCGCATATATAAACAAATTTGACTAATCAAATACCTCAGGCATGAAAATCACAACAGGATTTGGTGTATCAGCATCAAATTCTTCACTATTTGCTCTTTCCAAACCCAGAACCTATTTCAAGTAAACAAGATACAAAAGGGTGTTTATGCTTAAAGATTGAAAGGCTATTATTCTAATATTGACAAGATATGAATAAGCAATGTGGCTACACATACAGATCTCGAATATTCAATAACAGAAATCTGCATCCCCAAGCAAATGCCAAGATATGGAATTTTATTCTCTCTGGCGAACTTCGCAGCCAATATCATTCCTTGCACTCCACGATCACCAAATCCACCAGGAACCAAAACGCATGAACAACTCTAAAAATTAAAAATAAAAACATATAAGCAGCAAATTTTCATTTAACAGACAACTATGTAGGTTAATGTAGAAACGTAGAGATACGTAAATTGCCCAAATCACACGGAGTAATTTTACCTTAAGAGTTTCCCATGCCTTAGCATGTGCTTCTGGTGTCTGCATGAAAAGAAACACAGGATAAGCACATAAGGTTGTTCCAGATAACACAATAAAGATGGTAGATGAACCCATACCATTCGTGCACTTTCATCTTCGAGATCTGACGCTGCAATCCATTCAACTGATGGTTTCATAGAGCAAGCAACACAAGCATGTAGTAGAGCCTGAAATGCAAAGTGCACTGTGCCCATTGATTACATTCATCAAAAATCTCATCAGATATGAAGTATAAACCTAAGCAACAGAATCCATCTCATTAAAACATTAGCTATGTATCACAGTTTTTTTTTTCCACACAAGATGGTGGATGCCTAGTGTTCATTAAGAGGAAAGAAACGGAAGAGGGTTCAATCCCTGTAACTAGAATATCTCTTACCAGTCAAGATCTTCATCCACAGTAATGCATCCAAAAACTATCTTTTAAAATAGAAAGGAAAAAATCATGAATATATAGGGTTTCCAATTTCTGTCTATTCGATGTTGTGGTTTGATACTAAGCCAGAAGTCCAGTTGAAGGGAGCAAAGATCCTAATTTCAAAGTTGAACTATAGCAACTCTATATGTTTTATTTAGAATCTTAAATACATTGATGAAGAAATCTATTTCATATTCCAGTTTACAAACTATATGGATTTGCTGAATTAATTAAGTTCTCATTTGACAGAAAACTTGTTGACCGAAAAATATAATCTTATTTCTCGTCATAACAACGTGGCAAGACCAGATATGAAATTTTAAAAATATTTTGCACGATATTAAGAACCAATTGATAACAGTCAACAGACATCTCACCTTTATTACAGATAAATAAGCATCTGATAAGCCTGTGTATTTTCCAACCATAGCAATCTTAACCTGCAGAGCAATAAGGAAATGTATCTAACCTTAATAAACGGAAAAGGTAATATGTAACAGAACAACATGAGGTGGCATTAATATCACTGACAGATTCTGTAAGGTTATCGTATGTTTCTGCCATTTTCGTCCATGCCTGCAAATCTGGGGGAGAAGCCATGCTAAAAAAAACTTGTAAATTAGATCAGAACTGTTACTATGTAGATGTGCAAATCTATGTTGAAGAATAACAGGGAAATTTTCAAATTAAGAGTCTTACCTTATACAGTTCAACTGTTTCAGTATAGCCTCATGAGCATTTTGGTTCTGGATGCAGGTTGTCAATCAGAATATCAAGCTAAATTTTTGAGCTTATTAATTAGCGAGAAGCTAAAGCAGAAAGCATGGATGCAGATTTGGTGATACAAAACATCCAATTTGATCATCAGTGAAAAACTACAGGAACTCACCCGAAGTAAGAGTGGAACATGCCAAATGTTTGGAACATCATGAACATTGAGAATGTTAGCTACCTAAAAGACCAAACAAAATTCAAAGAATAATTATTTACGCATACCAAGCAGTGAGCGCTTTAAAGCATATAAACTCACCGGGACATGGCAAAATTGTGAGAGCTTCTCCTTCGTACCGTGTAGTAAAGGCTAAATTTTGACCAAAAAATGTATGTCAATTATGGATTTATTCACTACCAAAATCAAACAAACAATTCACAGAAGTCAGCAAATGAGAACAAAAATTGGTCTATTAAGGCTGCCTGCATTGCTAAAGTAAGCTGCATATTGTCTTCTAGTTTACATTTGTGTGCATGCCGTTTCATTTACTAATAAAAACTACAGCTAGGGTCTTATTAATTTAACTAGAGAAGGCAAGAGCTACCAAGCACAAAACACCAGGAAAAGGTGAAAATAAACAAGATGCAATTCAATATAAATAATCAGTGAGCAGTACACGTTTAAACCAGAACGAAGGACAGCCAATTGGATGCCTTTCTATGTAAAGATTATGAATATATGTAAGCAGATCTTTTTCTGGACAACTCAGAAGTTGCAACAACAAATCTACAAAGGAAATAATGTCTGCATTTTAAGTGCCTCTGATGAGTCAAATCTGAGTTTTTTACCTGAGCTGAGCGACATGCTAGTAGGTCAGGAGTCAAGCCTAACGCCCTTAGTTCTCTCACACTATGTTGAGTTGGCTTAGTTTTCTGCAGAATGAAGAACAGATAATAAGAAAATTTGAACGAGCCCATGATCATGTTAGCTATCTATCTGCATGATTCTTTAACATCCTTTTTAAAAATATCATTTAACAATATAGTTTCTGGGAAAAGTAATCTACCCCTCGGCATCTTGAGAGAGAACAAAGATATAATACATGGAAAACGCATATATAACTTATTATCCCTACTTATGATGATATAAGGTGAAGGTAGGAATATTTACCTGTTCGCCGACTACACCAAGTACTGGCACAAGGCTCACATGAACGAGGCAGAAATTTTCTTTTCCTGAAGGAGGAATTTGAATACTTTTCAAATACAATAGCCAGTGAATAAAACAGCTACAACTATACAACCATAAAGGAAAATGGCAGAACTCAAAACAGGAATAGTTCCAAGAGACGACATCTGATTGAAGTGGGAAATAACTGATAAATACATAGAGACTAATCAGCATTTTGATCTTAAGAAAATGTAAAGGAAATAAACAATATTGTGGAAGCACCTAACTACCTAAGTAACAATTTGGAGCATAAAAACCGCAATCGGTTTGATTCTTTGCTAAAAGGAGTAATATATAATGTGCTAAGCCTAAATTTCCAGCCCTTTTCAAGCTTCATTATTGTTTCAGTTTGACACAGTGCCCTCCCATATTACATAGTTTAGAGGCTACTGTTTGGTTGCTTTATGCATTAAGGATTCTTCGGTTTTTATTTATCTACAGTTGAAATTTTTGAACTGTATTGGTGTAATAGCATGCATGTATTGTGATTTTTTTTTTAAATAAAAAGTTAATATTATATGACTTCCACCTCTTCTTTACACGCTTATTAATCCCTACTTATTAGGCCTTGTAATGCATTCTCTTTCAACAAATAGTAATAGATATTACAAGATAGCAGCTACCAAACAGGTAACTCTACTAGCAGCACAACTGTGTTTAGTTTTGACTGGCACATTATCTTCTCTAGACAAGTACCGATGCTGCTATGCAAGTGATAAAAAAACAAGTTCCTTTCCACATACATATGCTTGCCTCTAATCGGGAGATCCTTTATCCTTTTTATGGAATAAAAGTACCAAAAAATGGAGAGGCTAAAGGTTTAAACTCACCAACTGAAAATGATAACTGGCGCAAAGCTTCGATAAATGGCATAGATTCTATATCACCTGAAAATACCAAGGATTTTAAAGTTTCACCTGTGCAAGGACAAACAATTCTAATTCCAGGAGCATTTCTTTAGATCCTACCTACAGTTCCACCCAATTCAATTACACATACATCAGCTGGCCCACTTTTTCCATCAACAGGAACTGAAGACACCGACTCAATCCAATCCTTTATGGCATCAGTTATATGAGGGACAACCTGTACATATATATTACAGAAATTTATCAAATGCACATAGCATCACCAGTGTTTTTTTCTGAAGAACATAAAAGCAAACATGACCACAAGACTTCAAAACATTACCTGAACAGTCTTTCCAAGATAATCACCTCTCCTTTCCTTGTCGAGGACAGACTGAGACAGCAAAGATAGAGCCTTAATTAGCTAAGGATCATGCTAAAAGTTTGGTTGTCAAAAGTATTTTACTTGGAATCAACTTGCCTGGTATATCTTGCCTGTAGTAATATTGTTGTCTCTGGTGAGAGTAACATCCAAAAAGCGTTCATAGTTCCCAAGATCCAAATCAACCTACATATACAAATCGAGTTAGTTAGGTAATATAATAACAAAGGAAAAGGACAAAAGACAAACCAAATAAAGAAACACAGTGAAACTCAAGAGGAAAATTTTCTGCGTAAGTTTATGTACATGCAATCAATCATATGTAGATCAATGTAGAATAACAGTCAAAAAAGAAAAAATCCCATACAACAAAACAGGCACTAGTTAGTTGTGCACTAATAGTTTAAGTAAGCTTTACACTGGCTCAAGAAAGAAGTATGAATCATAAAGATGGTTAATAAGCAATGTCCTAATATACAAGGTTCAGCTAAAACTTTGGGTGAACAATACATCAACACATCTAAAATAAGCATCCTGCAAGCATTCTGGCTATGCAACAGTTATAAAGTGAGCAACTGTGAGTACTGTCTGTTAGTTATCCTAGAGACAATACGTCAGTACTACTAAGAAAATAGCTTCTCAAATCAGTCACTATCGTCGTCGTTGTCGTCGTCGTCATCATCACCACAAACCATTTTCGATCAAAATGCTCTCAGCTACATATACAGAAGTTCTGTCTCGCTCACTTCTGTTTGCTGCCAAGCCCTATTACTTTTAGCAAGAAATAGTCAGGCCTTAAAACTTTGATGGCCAGTTCGGAGGTAGGTCATTAAATTAGTGCTCAATAATCTCACTGTCAAGGCAATCAATGAATCTACATGCAAAATGTTGCTGAATAGAACACATAACCATAAACATATATCGCGAGCACTTGCTAAATCACGTAGTTTAAAAATAAGACCAAAGAGAAGAACCTCGCCGCCATCATCAAGCACAAAAACCTCCCCATGTTCAAACGGTGACATGGTCCCTGCATCTGTGTTCAAATAGGGGTCTGCATTCAAACAAAACAAAGACATCAGTGAACAAAAAAGAAAGCCTAAAGCTAAAAGCAAATAACCCTAGGCAATAAGTGGTGTGAAACATCATAAATTGATTTAATTGAAGAAGACATGACGATCCAATTTTTTTTTTTATTTACACATCCAATTTCATCAAAGCCAAAAAGCTTTATGACTCCCTATTTTAGCCTACAATGGGAAAAACCCCCCATTGCGATTTAAGTTGTCCCCAAGCAAAAAATAATTGCTTGATTAGACTAGATTTGTAAAATTCGACTTCTGGTGTAGTGAAAAAGATAATTTATACGGTATCAGCTCAAAATTGCACCATTTCAATCCTCATTGCATCAAAATTTCAAAAAAAAAATCCAATCTTGGACGCACAAAGGACCAAAAGAGACATCTTTAGGGCAAAATAAATTGACCTATTTTGATGGAGGTGACCCTAAGCCCGCAGTTCTTGAGAACGACGCCGATGCTGCTAGCGGTGACCCCCTTCCCCAGCCCTGTAGAATAGGGGGGGTTTTGCGTAAGTTACTCTGCAGGAACAATTTAAATGGAGAACGCAACCGACAAAAGTTTGATCGTGGCCGTCGGAGTGAGCGCGTACCCCAGAGGAGCACGAAAGGTAAGTTGCGCCGCGGGTGATGTTACCGCGGTTCTTAAACCCCAGATGGGCTTCGAGAGGAGGTGGAGCCTATTAGTGTACGTTTGAAGCTTAAGCAACCGATAAAATAAAGAGGTTAGAATAAATAAATAAATAATAATAATGATGATTAGGAATAAAGAAGGTTACCATGATAATTGAGGAGCCCAAAAATCCTAAATTTTAACGAGGGTCAGATTTTGGGAATCTGATGACTGATATCTAGAGATAAGGAGAGGGTTTTATATTGAGAGGGGATGAATAGGGTTTTGAGGGTGAAAGGTCAAAAATGGACAAATGATGACAAAGAACTTTTGACCCTTTTTTGGTCAAGAATCCATGCAAGATAATCTAATTGATAAAAAATAAATAAAAGAGTTAAAAAGGAAATAATATATGTACATGGATATGAAACGGTATCATCTTATCGATAATGATACCGAGTATCTGGTTGAACGGATAGTATGCAGAAGAACCAAAATATCAACCGAGTATCTGGTTGAACGGATGGTATGCAAAAGAACCAAAATATCACACGTCGAGTTATTATATTAGTATCCTACTGAGTATCTGGTTGAACGGATGGTTTGCAAAAGAACCAAAATATCACTTTGGTTGAACAGATGGTATGCAAAAGAACCAAAATATCACACATCGAGTCACTATATTAGTACCGTCCCTTCATGGTAGTCAAAATCTTTTCAAGGATAGAAAAGAGAGATTACATCATTTTGCCCTTATTGGCATTTTTGCTGAATCACATATGAAACATTCAAATGCATTGACTTCTCTTGCTTCATTCCCATGTTTTCTTTGTGAAAGAGAATCACAACCATATAGCAGGTTACAACCAAAAATTCATGAATTTATTCGAAAACTCAGGGATATATCAGGTATTAGAACTAGTATAACAAACTAGTACAACATACTCCTCACTGGCATCTACCCATTATTAGGGGATGAGAGTCTTAGGAAAATTGCACGCCTTCGCCCTTTACAACCTCGCCGATGAGATAAGCTGGGTCGCCTGCGCTCGACTCAGCAAGAATCCTTTGAGATGCTTCAGAGGTCACAACCAGGACCATGCCAATACCCATGTTGAAAGTTCGTCTCATCTCAGCATCTTCAATCCCTCCAGCCTGCAAAAATAATAATGATAATAACAATTATAGGTATTTGCTGCAAGATATACCTGAAATTAGCATAAACTTTTATATAGAAACAAAATTTTTAACTATAAACTATTTTGCAGAGTACGAGTGGGTCGGTGTAATCAATAACCAAAGATGCAAGCGAAATCAAATTTAACATAGGCTGCAACAGGAAGCATTTGCGGTTGAAAATTTAAGTGTTCGAGAGCATCAAGAGGTTGAGGAATGTAGATTTGCAAATTCCAATACTTGGTTATGCTATCAAAACAATAATAATATAAAACAAATTAAGGAGTTAGAAAATTCAGGCCTGATTGGGAGCAGT